GAGCAGCTCTTGCAGAATTCGTCAAGGAACATCGCGGTAGATTCATATGAGTTGACGGGTACAGCAAGGGCTGCTATGAGAGACGCTGGCGTAGATAGTATAGTTGTGCTGTGTCGTCAGAGTATGGTTCCAGCAGGATCAGATACGCGTTTATCGAAGGATGAAGGAAGCTCGAGTGCGCGCGGGTGAAAACATAGCCTCACCGAAGCACTAGAGATGTGCGGAGTTGACATAAACCTGACGCTCCAGTGACGGGAAATAGATGCTCGTAAACTGGATACACACAGGAACCCTAGCGATAGTCGACTCACAGGCAAGCCAATTGAGAACTGCACCGTCGTGAATTTTTGTATTGCTTATACCAAAATGACGCGGGTTCTTGCGATTTGATCCCTCGGCGGTGTGAGGGATGCTGAGCTGCAAAGCATGATGAATGATGATCCTAGAAAGCGGTAGAAAGTGGTAGAATCAAAAAATAGCTGCCACAAGTAATGGCGATGTCCGCTTGAATTGCAGGAGAGCATATCTGAAAGCGATGCGGCCTTGAACGATCCGGGAGAGGAAGAGAAGTGCTAGGGAGAGATCGATAGCTGGAAAGGTTCATAGCCCCAGGATTGGCCTAGGATCTCGTAGAAACTTGACAGAAACAGCATGGAAGTCATGAGTAAATGTCACGTCACTCGCTTTTAGGGCATGAAACCGTCCGTAATACGCCCACGGGCGTATGATTTACGCCATATTTTTGTTACGCGACGGCCACACCCGTACGTCAAGACTTGCCGAGAGAGGGCAAACGGGACGGATCCCGTACGTACCGTCCGTTTACGCGTAGTTTACGGTGTTGATGAGTTGAAATTGATTAGAACCCAGATGCAGCTTGTTTCAACTTTGAAGAGCCAAGAGAGAACCTTCATTATCTTTACCAGTGGTCGTATGAGAAAAAACTGGTAAGAGAGGCAAAACCCGCGCACAACATAGGTGTGAGAATTTGGGTTACCGACCGGCCCGCCATCCACCTCACCGGTTAATCACGTCGGCAGTGCATATACACTGCTGCCGGTGCTTGGCGAGGTTGTTTGCGGAGGTAAAGCATCGCGGCACCCTCCCGGCATTGTCGGCAGGTTGGTTTCTTTGCTGATTGCGGGTACAGTTGCATATCTGTCAATTACGCGTAAACGGCCGGTTACGGGAGACCCGTATACGGCCTATCCCGTACCGTCACCGTAACGTTTAATGTCGAGCCAATCTCGTCGACGGTACGGGGACGTAACCGTTTTTACGGGCCGTATTTCCGTAAAAATACGGGACGGTTTCATGCCCTACTCGCTTTGGGCAAAGCGAGAACGCTCTCAAAAGCATTAGAGCCCATTTTCCCATTTACAAGGTGATTATCTGGAGTTCTAAAGAGCACGGAGCCAAGCAGTTGGAGGGGAGGAGAACTTCAATTAAGTGTAGTTGGTGTACACGTGACTCAACGCGCCTCCGCCATCACCCAAGCACACGCAAACACCCTCCTCCCTCTGCCTTCATGAAGATAATCCAAAATCCTCGGCCCGTGACATTACAACCGGTCTTACGCTGGCAGCCAACAAACTACAGCCCTCACAGCGTAAGTAAGGGAATAAGGAAATAAGTAGGTAAGCAACTAAGTAGATAAGCCATATGTAGCAGCACGGAGCGGATAAGCAATAAAGCGGGAGAGACCATATGTACTAAATGAGAGAGAGACCACAGATATAGATGAAACCCAGATGAAGATAATGAGGAGATAGAGAAAGAGGGAGAGAGTAACGAGACCGAACCCGAAACAGAAATCAGAGCAGCGATTAAAGAAAGAAGACCCGATGCGCGGCATATCGCGCAGCGTACCCCATCCCATCCAAGTCCGTCCGTCCTCTATGCGTCCAGTGCCAATATCGCCCCTGTGCGCTGTGCGAGGCGTGCGGCCTACAGTATTAACGCGTGCGGCGCGGGTATCCGCTGGGGTACCAGAGGTGGCGCCCAGCCCAGCCAGTCAGTCATAATTGATCAGTCGATCCTGTAGCCCGTGCACACACAATCCTGCAGTCCAAGAGGCCAGGGAGCGCGGGCTACAGGATCCCCGAGTTCTTGAGCGCGTTTTGCAGGATCGTCTCCTTGACGGCAGCGAACACGAGCCGGATGTTCTTCGTGTTTGTCGCCTGCGTCACACTATATGCCTTTCATCAGCATACTCCCTATGGCTGAGAGACGAGCTGGAGACGAGGAGGGAAGGGAAGGGGTACGCACTGCGGGTACACAGTCAATTTCGCCCGGTTCTCTTGCATGAATTTCCACAGGATGTACTTCGCCGCCTTCTGCAGGTCGTTCCTGCCCGCGTACTCGGGGAAGTAGCGCCCCAGCGGGATCTTCGGCAACTTGCGCTTAAACACGTCGATCTTGTTCAGGAAGAGGATCACGCTCGTGCGGAGGAACCAGCGCGAGTTGATCACCGACTCGAAGAGATAGAGCAACTCGCGCATGCGGTTCTAGAGAAGCAAGGGGCGTTAGCGGGGGGCGAGCGGGGACGCGAAGATGATAGGAAAAGAAGGAGAGGGATGAAGGCACCGCACTAGGATCGCGGAGTAGAGCATCCGGGGAGCGGAGGCGTTGGGAGCTCCCACTAGAGGATGGTATGAGAGTAGGCTTGTTACCAGCCCGCCCAAGGGGGACTCGGGATTCAAATTTCGGCTATCAGGTCGATTAAAGACGTATATGGGGGTGGGAAATCGATATTTCAAGGTCCCAGGTCCACCCGAGTCCCGGTTGAAAAGATTCGCAACTTTTGATGGCAAATATGAATATTTCTTCCGATTTTTTAAACATTTTTTCTGCATCGAGCGCATCTTTGGCGACGTTTTTGGGAAAATTTTCGGCCAGACCCCCCCCCTCCCCTCCCCGTGGGAAAAAAGAAAAAAGAAATTCAAAAAAATCTAAAAAATTCAGATTTCGATTGCCGACCCCCATTTTAGGCCAGATTCGACCTGATGTCAAAATTTTAATTTTGAGTCCCCCTTGAGCCCGCCTACGAGTTGCAACAATGTGGCGAGCACGTTGCCGTAGGCAGGCTGGTACAATTCGGGACAAACAAAAGGGCTGGGCGCGGAGTTCGATCACTTTCCTTTTCCTTTATTCTGAGCTTATTTTACATCTGTTGGAAAAACTCCAAAGGGAAAGACAACTCCAATTCCACTCTTCTCAAAATCTGTCTCTTCAGAATTTTGATTAAGCTCGCTGCGGGCGAGTTCTGGAGCCTCAAATTTAGTAAGGAATTGATCGCAGCATGATGCCGATGATCGGCACCACTCAAAATTTCGAACTCCGGGCCCAGCCCTTTGGCGGGTCCCGAGTTGTACCAGCCTGCCTACGGCAAAGTGCTCGCCACATTTTTTTTTGCCATTTGTAGGCAGGCTGGTCACGAGCCTAGTATGAGAGCACGTCACCGGTGTGTGGCGAAGTCCAGCACCTCGCACGCGAGATACACTGCCGCCTGAAGAGCACCGTGGTAGTGGGCACAGTCTCCCGCAGCGGCAGCGCGAGACATCGGTTGGGAGGTCCTGCGCTCTACGACACTCGCCCGCCATCGATATTGACACCCCGCGTCACCAGTACGCGCGCCATCCACAGCACACTCCCAGTTATGCCGCGAGGTCCGCTGCATCTCCCGTGCCTCTTTACGCCGTCCACGCTCGCACAGACGCGCCTACCCTCACGGGCTACGACGCTCGCAGCTAGGCTGCCGTCGTTGCCGACGACCTCTGTGGCGAACGACAGCGCGCTATGGCGGCGGAAACGCGACGCCATCGGCCCCCGGTGCCCGTCGGTACGCCAGCGCCGCCTTTCTCCGCGTCCAACACACAACGCGGCACATGCTCCCCGTCGAAAAGTGCGCGAGCACATTTGTGTCGGCGCCCGTGCTCTCCCCGCGCGCACTCGCGCACGTGCTGCTCGCGAGCTCACGAGCACCCCTCGCACTCCACACCTGTACCTGCCCGCTCTGAGTACGGGACGCGGAGGCGTACGCGAGGGGGCACCTCCGCATCACCATGGCCCGGAGACGCATACACGCTCCACGCCGTACGCACTACTCACTGAACGCCTGCGCTGCTCCACGCCATACCACGGACGCCCACATCGGCACAGCACGGCCGCCTGCTCGATAAGTATGTGGCGAGTACCCCCGCGTCCTCAGTCCACATCGATAGTTCCGGCCGATTGGTATGGCTCGTGCGACCAGGATGAAAGCTGGGGGATGACTGGACGTCGAGGTCCAAAGGGCAAGTGCACCGCCACCACGTGACGGTCGCATCTCAGACGCGTCGTGACAACATCAGCAAACACGCCGGGCGCTACTTGCCAGGCCGCATAATAGAAAATTGTGCTCGCGGCGAATACCTGAGAGCGAGGCGGAAACTCTTATCTTTACATATGATGCAAATTTCTTGGCGGCTGCCCTCAAGAAACGCGAAGGCAATGAACGGCCCAGGCTCGAGTTGAACGAGCCTCTCCTGAGTCGGATCCTGTTGACGTTTGCGGTAGTTGAAAGCAGGTGCGGACTTTCCGCTACTAACCCTTCTCGTGCTCCCTTTTCATCTTCCTTTACACAGCAATTCTGTGCTGAGCCTGAAAAAAAATCGGTGGAACTTCTTGATGAAGTATGGCCTAGGCTCGAGTCGAACGAGCGTCCCCTGCATCAATCACGTTGGCGGCAAATAATCAAGAGCAGGCGCGGACCGTCCGCTACTGAGCCTTCTCATGCTCCTGTTCGACGTTCCTTTACACACCAATTTGCGTTGAGCTAGGGAAAAAGAGCCAGGAAAACCGATAATGGCCCGAGCTCGAATCGAACGAGCAGTCATCTCCTATATGAGAATTGAAAGTAGGTGCGGACCGTCCACCACCAGGCCTTCCTCTCCCTATGCACCTTCCTTTATGCAACGATTCCGTCCAGCCGGAAAAAAAAAAGCTCCATGCAAAGGATATTGCCCAGGCCCGAGTCGAACGAGCGAGTCCTGCAGGCACACTGGCACACGAGAGCGCTGAATTGGAAGCAGGCGCGGAAACCCTCCGCTACCGGGCCTTACTCTCCTCCCTTTTGATCTTCCTTTACCCCAGATCTTCCGTGCAGCTGAAAAAAAAAGGGGGATACGAAGAATTGGCCAGAGTCGAGGCGAATGAGCGTCCCGTTGACCTGCATACTCTCAAGCGAATCGAGAGCAGGCGCAGGCCGGCCGCCATCAGGCCGTCCTCTCCGCCCTTTTCACCTCCATTTACCCAACGATTCCGTCCAGCCGAAAAGGAAAGCTGGAGGTGGCGAAAGGATATCGCCCAGGCTTGAGTCGAACGAGCACTCCTGCATATGAGATGTACAGTATTTAACCGTGAAGCGAAACGGCACGTGGAAGCGAAACGTTGTGCTGTTTGCCACCTTGCAGGTTGCCTGCGACCCCAAAAGTTTGGGACATTACTCTCCTCTGTATGAAACTCCCATGCACCGAAGGATTTGTGAGAAAAGCTTGTGTAGCTCCTGTTCTATCCCAATTTCTTTTTGCTATTATTTTCCAGATTTGACCCTGCGGGATAAATACACAGCCCGTCCGCCATTTCGAGTTAGTTCAGAGTATACTGGGGGTTTTTGAGGTTGAATATTACGAACACACACCTTCCCAACCTCACATTTGTAAGGATGAGCTCGATTACTCGGTTTCCTAATGTTTCGCTTCCACGTGATTTGGCCATTTTGATCGCTGAGAAAGATGCCCTCTTTCTCCATGAGAACAGGACATAATCGCATGGTTCTTTTTATGGTCAGGTAGCTGGGACGACACTGAACGAGCCTACAACAAAGTATAATGTCATTGGAGTACAATGAAGTCCACAATTGGCCGCACGGCCTGAGCGTTTCGCTTCACGGTTAAATACTGTAGATGTATTGGACGTAGGCGCGGAAACCGTCCGCCACTGGGCCTTAATCTCATCCCTTCGAACTCCTGTATCTCAGAATTTTCCGCGCAGCCAAAAAAAAGCTGAAACGAAAGGATATGGCCCAGGCCCGAGTCGAACAAGCATTCTCCTGCATATATCAATATATCTCTTGGTAATTGAAAGCAGGTGCGGACCGTCCGCCACTGGGCCTTCCATACCCTCCCTTTAAGCTTACTTTCCTCACGATTTCCCTCGCAGGCAGACAAAAAGAGAGGAGCAGCGGAACAAATGGCCCAGGCTCGAGTCGAACAAGCACTCCTGCATATGAGATGTAGCAGATGTATTGGACATAGGCGCGGACCGTCCGCTACCGGGCCTTCCTCTCCTCTCTACTAACTCCTTTACATCAGCTATTTCAAGTCCACAGCTGAAAAAACAGAGGAAGACATTGATGGCCCAGGCTCGAGTCGAACGAGCTTTCTCCTGATGAAAGCTGTAGTCAATGTGCAACAGGAACAGGTGCGGAACCGTTCGCTACCAGGCCTCCCTTCCCTCCTTTTGCCTTGAGTATCCCAGAACTTTGCATTGAGCCACGAAAAAGAAGAGACACAGAGAGACTGGTCTATGGCCCAGCCTCGAGTCGGCGAACGAGCGTGTCCTACTGAAAATAGTCTGGATAATGAAACATTGAAAGCAGGTGCGGAAACTGTCCGCCACCAGGCTTTGGGCTGGTACCTGTGAGCCTGGTAATGTCCCGGCGGACGCAATACAAGGGCAATGAACACGGAGACAAGAGAAACATCCTCTAGTCTTGCTCTAGTAGTCTGTAGATTCGTGCCAGTGACGATGACATTCCGCAACGCAGCGGGAGGCACAGACAGGCAGATTGGCGCGCCGAAATCGCGCGCGTTAAATTGAAAGGCAACGCTGTTATGTACGACAGAGGCGAGATGTAGATTGGAGAAAAAAATTGGTGACTGTATTCGAGCCTTGATAGGGGCCGCCGCCCGGCATCTGTTACAAATCCATGTGTGCATCGTTATAAGAATGAGTCCCTCGCTCGGACCGAGCAAGGCAGCGTTTCGAGGGCAGAGATGGGCTGGCGGCAGGAACGAAACCTTGAGGACACGGCGGCGCGAGCTGTGGGTAAAGCGTCCGAGTTCCGAAAAACTTGTAGATGGTGGAGAAGCTAGCACCGCGGGTTGAAATGTAAAACTGAATTATGCACGTCAGCCTTTTTCCCCCCGTCATGATCGCAGGCGAAGCCTCGCTGTATTCTGGACAAATCTCCGCGTGGGAGGCGTAAATCTCAGGCCCGGCACGACTGCTCTCTTTTTTTCGAAAAGCCTGACCGCATTATTTGGCAGGCTCCGCGTCGACTGAGTTGAGCCCGCCGTACATATTCAAACGCATACCTCAAATAAGGGGTACATGGGTGGACGCGAGCGATATATATCTGAATGCAATGAGAGCACTATCCAATCACCTACGCAATATCTCCAGTCTTAGATGGTCCGGCCTGCGAGTCGTTTGCCAATACACCACCCAAAGCATGTGTGTCCGTGGTGGTGAATGAAGTGGAGTGGGAAGCCGATCCAGGGGTCGCAAGGGAACCACTCTCGGTGGAGGTGGCCTGACTGATGAATGAGGGTGTTCCAGGATCCATATGAGAAGTGCCTTCTCCGGCTTCTTCTGCATTGTCAACCTTGATGAGTATTCCCGACTCCGTCCCAGGTTCCATTCCTACGATTTCGGTTATTCAAAGGACACCGCTCCATTGCAAACTTACCTAGATTGCGCTGTTTCCCTTTTAATTTCTGGGGATTGTTTACGCCCGGCTCCTCGGCCTTGAATTCACCTTCCGTCAGTTCAGAATCGGTAGCTATCTTCCCATTGTCCCCTCCCAAATCTGTCGGACCTGCTATTTGAATATTGGTCACCCTAGTAGCATAAGTGCAGATTTAGACTTACCTGGCTCACGCTGTTTCCCCTTAAATTTGGGAAGCTTGTCTGTACTCAGATCGCCCACCTCCAAGTCCCAGACGTGCGTTTCCGAGTTCTCGGGAGTCTGGGCCAAGGTGCTGTCCAATCTGGGATAAACTGGCATCCTCCATTGCTCTGTCGTAGCATCCCAACCTCGTGCTTTGAACTCGTGCAATGGTAGCTTTGAGATCTGCGGCTCTAGGGGTTCCTCCTTGCGACGAATCAAAGATTTGACAGCCAGTTTGTGGGATAATCTTTTGATCAAGCTAGGTTTGTCCTTGGCAGGTGGCACACCAAGTGAAAAGGATACTGCAGCACGATGGTTGGCTGGGGTCTTGTCCGTAGCAGGGACATCTTTGGACTAAATTAGTGATATGTGATAGCCATTAAGTCGTAGACGTACTGATCAGTGAATTCCCCGACAGCTCAACTGTTTGGTCCTCCCTGATAAAAAATTCAGTAGTTGTCTCAATGTCTGGAAAGTATGCCTTTGAACAGTTAGCTCTCATGAAGTAATATCTTTCCCGAACAGCCACATACAGAGGTATGAGCGATTATCCCCAGCCCTTTAGCCTTCAGGGAGTGGTTCGGAATCCACAGCATTGTTTGGTTCCGACTGATGAACGAGATTCTGGGAAGCTCAGTGTTACTGGACTGACATGGGGAATTAGATTGTTCCCAGTCAGACATTCCCAGGTCTTACCTCCGACTCGCCAACATGGCCAACATTGATCCCCATTGAGAATTCGACGTCCAGCGGATTTTGCGGATCCGAAGCCTTGTATGAAACATTCAACTCTTCGTAGGATTTACCATTGTCAGTCCAGTCATCTCCAGCAGCATATTCAACCGTCCACTTTGGTGTGATCTGAACAACACGTTAGCAATGTATGTCGGGAATTTAAATGACATCCGTGCCCTATCATTCTGATTTTCGGTTGTATTCGTGGTGGTTTTATTCATAGCAAGTGTTGCTCCGCCTGTTGTATGCAGACCTCCCGTGATCACTCCAGTGCCTGTTATCCCTTTGGTTTTCGTTTTCACTGTCTTGGATATTTGATTAGGTGGACTAAA